GGAATGGCTCGAACCACTGTAGGTACCAGCCCCCCCATTGTGGGAGCCGGGGTGGGAGTGGGCGGGGGGGCTGCCCGTCCCCCAGGGCCTGGGGGTGTGGCGGAGGTGTTGTGTCCACCCTTTCCTTTCCTGTCCCCTGCTGGACAATTGAGCCCCCTCTGAGTAACCCTGGGCGTTATTTCTATTATGTTAGGACCGAGGGACGGGGTGGGGGGCGTCCTGCCTTCAGGAAACATGTGTTCATCGCTTCTTCCAGGGGAAATGAAGCCCCGGCCCCCAGTGTATGTCCCCCTGCGTGGAGGCCAGTGGCTGCACCGCGAGTGGACCTTTCTCCCATCCTCCAGGGCGGGTTAAAGGTCCTGTCTGTGGGCTTGTCTGCTCCCAGGAGGAGGGGCCTCCTTGGCAGACCCCACCCCTACCAAAGCCTGGGGGAGCGTCCCCTCCGGTGTGACAGCTGTCGGCCCCTGCCTGCACCTCCCTTAGAGTGCGCGTCAGGGGAGCCCTGGGGGTCTCGTGTTGGCAGTGGAGCCAGGCTGCAAGGGGCAGCTTCCTCAGACACGGCCTGCTGTCCTCACTGCCCCTCACGTCTCGGGGAGGGGCACCTGTCCGCCGAGGGGTGTCTGGCCCTAGACACTTTGCTTGTATGTTTGAAGCTTCTGTCCCAGGCATGAAGGGGAGACCCTGCGCTGCCCTGCTGGGAAGACTCTCCCTCCTCCTAATCTGGTTTGTTTTCTGGGGGTTGAATTTGTTTTATGTCGGTCTCAGGCTACTCTGGAAAAGAACCTGTCCTGTCCAACCCAGCTGTGTCCTTTTGTTACCCTGTTTTCACTTGGGGATAAGGGCAGACACTGCCCTTCCTAAGAGGGGCGCTGATGAGAACCCCACGGTCCTGCCAGCCTGCTCACCTCTTCTTGCTGCGGCCTGTCTGGGGTCAGATTCCTCCTGGCTGGAGGGTCTCTGCAGACCGCATTGTGAGCGCCTGGGGTGCACACCTGGGCGTGTTCATGCTCAGCGGTGGGTGTACCTGGGTGGGAGCGAGCTGGCCCTCCGGGGTTATTGTTCTGGGACTCGGGTTTCTTGCTCTGCACCGCTCTGGGCTCATCTCTCCCCTGGAGCCTCTCCCACCCTCCCAGACTGGCTGCTCCCTCCTGCCAGCTGAGGGGGAGGGCTGGGGTGGGTCTCTGGGGGCCGGCAGATTGGAGGTGGTTGAGAGGCCCTGTCCCCGCCATGCTCCTGCGAGAGACTGAGGTAGAGAGACACCTACCTCTGCCCTTCTCGGAGCCACCATCGCCCCAGCCTTCTCTATTGTCCTGCCCCCTGACCTTTGCCTCTGGGGCAGAGCTGGAGGGAGGCCGCCCGGGAGGGAGGGGGCTTGACCTTGGTTGACTGGGGCTAAAAGGGAAAGGTGAGAGGTGTGAGGTTCAGACCCTCCTCCCCGTTCTCCCCGACAAGAGGCAGGTGTCCCACCCCCATAATGCTAATTGGGGCAGGGCCTCCAGGGGTCACCCCTCCCACCACCTTGGCTGTCTTTGGGGATTGGGGAGAAGCTGGCTTTGGAGACCTTGAGCCTCAGCCCCTTGTTTCTTCATTACCCCCTGGACAGCTCAGCTCTTCTGGGTCTGAGCTGACCATGGAGGAGGCAGGTACTGGGGAAGTGGAGGTCTGTCCCCCACTGGGGCTCGTGTTGGGTTCACCCTGTGTATGTCAGTGGGGTGCCAGTGGGCCGCGAGGGCTGGCTGGAGGGTTGTTCTCAGCCCCGGAAGGACCTAGAGGCGTGACCTGTGCCTAGGCCAGGTCTGGAGTCCACTGGGTGACCACCACTGCCTCGAAGGAACCCTTGCTGTGTGTGGAGATGCCCTCCAGCCCTTCCCCCAGTTCCACACTCTGTTGCCACTTCCACCGAAGGTGGGGAGGCTGCAGGCTAACTGGGAGGAGACCTCCTGGGTCCTGCAGCGCCCCGGGGACCTAGCTTCCCTCCCCAGGATCCACGTGGTGTGGGTGCACTGCAGGACAAGGGGTGCACAGGATGTGGCTCCCCAGCTGTCCCCCACCAATCTCTGCCGCTCACGCCTCCGCCCGCTCCCAGACGTCCAAGAATGTGAAGCACGTGGATGCCCGTAGTGGGGGGAGGGGGAGCGATGCTTATCGGCGCGGGGCACCGGGCTGGGGGCCTGCTTCCGCTGCGCGCACCCGAGCACCCCACCCTCTGGGGAGAGAGGGCAATGCCGCGGGACCTGCTCCCCTTCCCCGCCAGGGGCTTCGAGGGGAGCTGCGGAGGAGGAGCGGGCGCCAGCTGGATTGGGAGGGGAGCCTGGCCGGGGGCCCGACTGATTTCCTGCTGATCTCCTCCAGGAAACCGGCCCCTGGTGCAGCCCGCGAGCCGCTCGGGGCGTGGGGTAGCCGAGTGCTCGCGCCTCCTGCCCGGCCTGCGGGCGCGGGGGAGGGCGGCCGGCGGCAGCCCTCCGCGGGGCCCTGGAACTTTGAGCCGAGAGGTGTGGCGCTTCTGCAGCCCGGTCCTGCGGGAGGAGGCGGCAGTTCTGGGTTGGGGCCTCTGGGGAGGGAGGGGCCCGGCCTCCGCAGCCCGGTCCTTTGGCCGCGTGGGCAGGAGTGAAAGTGGTTCTAACCCTTGCCCAGGCTGTGAGGGTCCCAGCAGCGCCCTCCCAGGCCTTTGGCTGGCGGCCTGGGGAGGTGGGAACTGGACTGCGCTCGGGTTCGAAGGGCGCGTGGGAAACCTCAGCGTTACCTGGGCGGCAGGTGGGACACTGCTGGGCTGGGGGTGTGTTCTGACCTCAGAGACAGCGCTGCTGCGAGGTGCGCCCTCACCCCGCCCCAACTAGCCCTTGTCTTGGGTTAGCCCCCCTCATCCTGCCAAACACCATTCTAAAAAGCACATTCTTTTCAGTGCCATCAGCCCCCTCTGGACTTCACCTGAGCTCCAGATTTCTGTGGGCCTTTGCTGGGCTAGTCCCTCCCAGGCCTTAGAGCTGTGTGTTCCTCATCCCGCCGTCCTCTGTCGCATGCCCGACCTCCCTTCTGCACCCCAGTCTGCATCCCCAAGCTCCTCTGTTCTTTCTCTCCTTCAGTCTGGTCTAATTCAAGGTGGGGCCTTGGGGGGAGCAGGGCTGGGCCAAGGGCTGATGTTGAGGGTAGGGTTGGGAAGGGGGTCTGTGCCTTAACCCTCTGCTTATTGGAACTTAGACTGCAATTCTAGGCCATGGTCCCCCCCTTGTCCTTGACTCCCTCCCCCCAGTCCGGATTGTCTATTGTTACTCCTTTTACGTCTTGGAAAAAGTTAGCACAACAAAGGGTTCCTTTGTCATTCACCCCTCTGCCTCCTGGCCTCACCCAGGCCCCCCAAACCCTCCCCGCCCCAAGCAGCTGTTCCCAGGCCTCTCTCCTGCCTGTGTGATTTGCTTGTCTGGCCCTGGGGAGAGTGAGGTGGGGGACCCAGAGCAGGGCAGCCCAGTGGTGGGGAGAGGCCAGTGAAAAGTCTGGGCCGGTGGGGGTGTGGACAGCCACTGCTCTGTTGCTGCAGGCTGGTCTCTGAGCAGGGACGTGGGCCACAGCAGTGCTGGGCAGCCGGGCTGGCCAGGGAAGTGGTGCCCAGGCCCTCCTAAGAGCCAGGAAGGCCCTGCCAAGGCTTTTGGCCTGGCTTCCTGTAACTCACTGCCTGACATCGGTAGGTAAGGGGGACGGTAGTAAGGGGGAGGGGGGATTGTGCAGCCGGCCTCCAGTATCCAGGTGCTTCTTTGGTTGGTGCCTGGACTTTGAGGTCACGTGACTCACGTCAATAAGGTGCTTGGGCTAGGAGATCTGGGTCCCAGTGACTGCCAGAACCTGGCGTGCTGGGGTTTGAGGGTGAGATGTAGGATCTGGGGTGTGGGAGGGGGCTGATCCATCTACTCAGGGAGGCATCCTGGACAGGTGCACTTGGTCAAAGCCCCGGGATGATGCCTGGTGGCCCCTGGGAAATCTAGGGTGGCCGGGGTCACAATTATCCTCCAGCACAGTTCAGCCTCAGCTGCCCAGGCTTTGGGCACAGACAGCCCCCACCCAGCGCAGCCCCCTTCTGCCTGGGGTGGTGGGCATTGGGCCAGGCACTGGGGAGGATAGTGGGGGCTGCCCCTGCTGGCTGGGTCACCCTGCCTGGCTGCCCTCTTGGAGATGAATACCAGGAGGGGAGGAGGGTAGTAACCCGGACATAGTATTGAGGCCAGACAGACAGACAGAGCATTGATGGAAACAGACCCCCTTTGTCATGTTGCTTCCCCCCAGACAGGGGCACCCAAGCAATTGGTTTCCGGGGCCCATGGGGACTCCTCTTCCTGTCTTCCGGGGGTCTCCTGCTTATTTCAGGGAGTCCCCACCCGCTCTGTCCCAACATATGCTATTTTTTTATGCACCCTGCCTTGGGTCCCTGGCCTGGGGATTGTTTTGGTGGAGGAGGGGCAGTGGCTGTTGGCAGAGGGGGGTGGAGGGGAGCTGAGAAGCGGAAGGGGGTGGGGGTGGGGGAGTGGCCGGCTTTGAATATCCTGTTGACCCCAGTTTCCTCTGCCCCCAGCTTGTGTCCTCCTTTCCTCCCTCCTCAACAGGCCTTAACTCCTTCGTAACTTGGGGAGATAGGATAGTGCCAGGCTACCCCCCCCCCCCCCCCCCCCCCCCGGGCCTGGGCTTTAAAGCAGTGTGGCAGCCTCTCGCCCTGGCCCTCAGTTACAGCCGGGGCCACAGAAGAATCTGATAGTTTATAATCTGGTCTTTCTGATTTCGGAGCTGGGTCCTGAGGAAGCAGACCAGAGTGATGGGGTGCTAGAGGCTTTGCCTGCACCCTTACTCTCCTAGTCTGGCTGGCAAGTCCCAGCTTCCCTGAGACTGTGTCCCTGCCCCAGAGTCTGAATCCTGCGGCAGCGGTGGGGCTGGAGGGGCTTGTGGGAGAGACCTTGAGACAGGTGGGCAACAGGGTGACCAGGTCTCTAACCACCGCTCCCCTCTTTTCTCTCTAGCCATCGAGACCCAGAGCAGCAGTTCAGAGGAGATCGTGCCCAGCCCCCCCTCGCCGCCCCCCCTCCCCCGAATCTACAAGCCTTGCTTTGTCTGTCAGGACAAATCCTCAGGCTACCACTATGGGGTCAGCGCCTGTGAGGGCTGCAAGGTGAGTTGAGGGGAGTCACTGGGAAGGACAGTCCTGATTAGATAAATGGGATGTCGCCCGCTGTGTCCTGTGAGTATATCCTGGAGGGGAGCTTGTTCCTGAAACTGCTGCTCTTGCTTCTCTGCAGAGGGTAGCAGCAGCTTGGGAGAAGAGGAAGCCTGTAATAGACCCCCCCAATAGATGAGCAGGGGTCCCCCAAGCCAGAGGTCCCCTCCTGCCTGAGCTCCTTTCCATCTCCATCCTCCAGCTGGCAGGGCGGACGCCAGCTCTGCCACCGCTGCCCAGGTTGCCATGGTGAGCTGGCTGCCGACTGGCTCTTGGCTGGGGACTCAGGAGGCCTGCCCCCAGTGGCCTGCCTGAACCTCGCCATGGCAGCCTGGCAGGAGGCACTTAGGAGCCGGCGCCCTGCCTCGGCCTCTCCTTCAGGTGCTGGGCTGTGGGCTCCCTGGGGCTTGGCTGCATTCCCCGGGCCCATGTTGAACTCCGGGGTGCAGTGTGGCTGCCTCCTTCCCAGCAGCTCTGGACCCTACTTCTCCTCCCCTTCTCCCCAGGGCCTGAGCCTCTGTTCCCTAGAGGAGGGGGCTCAGAAGTTGCACGGCTTGGGGCTCTGGGCCGCCCCTTAGCTAGGAGTCACTGTCCCCAGTGTGGGGCCAAGATCAAGGGCCAAGTACTAGGGCTCAGAGTGTGTATGTCTCCCTGTCCTGCCTGGATGTCCTGTTTGTTCCCAGTCTGTCTGTCTGGCTGGGTGGCCTGTGTGTGCAGCCCCCGCCCAGCCTGCTCTGTCTGTGATCAGTGCGCACCCCCATGCCCGCTGACGAGCGTGTGTTGCTCTTGACAGGAGCGTGTGTGCGGTCTCTCCTGTCTCTGGCCTGCTTGCGTGCGGCCTGGGTCGCCTCCAGCTCCCCTTCTCTTCCTGTGCCTTGAGCCAGCCAGGGGTTCCAGAGAGCTGCCTCTCTCCTGGCTGGCCCCCTCCTCCTTTCTCTGACTCATAGCAGCCCCAGGTCCTTGTCCCCAGGATCAGGGGAGGGAGTTGGGTCTGGGCTGGGGGAGGGGCGGATCCCTGTCCTACTAGCTGTGTGAAAAGTCCTGGAATTCCTCGTAGGGACCTGTTCACTCGCCTTACCTGCCCTGCTCAGGTAGCCAATGGTCACAGGCTTGGGGACAGCTGTTCCCCTGACAGAGTGTGGCTGACCTGACTCCCTCCCCTCCACACCCAGGGCTTCTTCCGCCGCAGTATCCAGAAGAACATGGTGTACACATGTCACCGAGACAAGAACTGTATCATCAACAAGGTGACCCGGAACCGCTGCCAGTACTGCCGGCTGCAGAAGTGCTTCGAAGTGGGCATGTCCAAGGAGTGTGAGTGCAGGAGCAGGCAGGGAGAGCTACACCCTGCCCCTGTGGATGGGGGGGGCAGGGAGAGGGGCGCAGGGCTTGTGGATCCCTGGCTGCACAGGACCTTGCATGCCCTGGTGTGGTGTGCAGGCCTGAGGTTAAGGAGGGTGTGTGTATGGCTGCTGGACTGGTCTGTGAGTCCTGCGCTGTGTCCATGTGTAGCTGGCATGCCTGCGTGGTCCTGGCCAGCCGTGATGCACGTGCACAAGCGGAACGTGTGTATCTGCGCCCGACCTGCTTGCCTCCGGGCCTTGCTCGACTTTGGGGTGGGGCTCACAGGCATACCTGAATCCCTCTGATGATGCATTTTTGAGGGGCCCACAGTGAGGGGTGCCTGTGGTGTGTGTGTATGTGGGGGGTGCCTGGCATAGATCTAAAAGCCATTGTCTGTTGGAGCCTGGGACCTGGAGTTGGAAGCGAGAACTGGGACTTCTCAGATCCCAGAGGGCTGGGGGTTTCCAGTTTGGGCTCAGCTGAGGCCTGATGGAAGAGGGAGGAGGACTGGACAGGGAGATCCTCTTGTGTTGAATCATGGGTGTTGCCGTGGTGACCGGTGATTGATGATGTCAGAGATAAATGACGCTGACAGACGCCTCCTTGTCTGCGTGGCCGTTGCCATGGAGCCTGAGCCTTGGGGGATGGGGTGGAGGAGGGGGCTGCAGGACCCCCTAGCTCTTCGTGGGGGAGGTCAGTAGAACAGGGAAGTGGGGAGGGAACATGGGGTGACTTGAGGAGCCCCAGATGGGGGTGGTGGAGGGGTCTCATACACCCCGCCACAGGAGGTGGGGGCTGGCTTGTCCAGAGGAGCCCAGGAGGCGGCAGCCCTGGGCTGCCGAGTGGGTGACGGGTGACGACTTGGGACCCTTCCCTCGGCTGGCTCTGCCTCCTCCCTCTACTCTGCCACCTTGGACTCCCAGAGCTTTTCAGTACAGAAGACCAGGGTGGGGACCCCTCTCCCTCCCACCGCCAGCTCCCCCTTTTCCCTCCCTCCTTCTCCTCTCCTGCGGCTGCTCTGTGCCCCGGAGCTGAGCAGCTGCCATTTCAATAGAATTAAAGCTTCCGAATGATAAACGTCTTGTCACAGCTGCAATTTTCTCTTCCCAAATTATCCCCCCACTCTCCCTCTCCCTCTCCCTTCTCTCCCTTGCACTTTATTGAATTTGCAGAATCGACATGAGTGATCTCCAAATTATGCCAGCTCACCCCCCCACCCGCTACCCCCTCCCCCCTCCCCGGCCCCTCCCCCCACCCTCGCTTCCTCTCGCGTCAGCAGCCACCACCACTGCCCTGTGAGTGATTGTGTGTCTGGGATAATCGGCTGGTAACGACCCCATCGCTTCTTTAAAGCCGAGTGGTGTGTGCGGCTCAGCGCCCCCGGTGATTTGTCAGCTCCTCGCCTAATGGGCCGAGAGATTCTCCTGCCTGGCCCCCCACTCTCTGGCTGGGGAGCTGCTCAAAACCAGTTCCGGGAACCCCCAGGGAGACAGCTGCCAGGAGGGCCAGCGAGTGGAGGCCTGGAGGCCGTGCCTGTCCTTCCTGGAAACTGAGGGGATGTGGGGGTGCAGAACTTGGAGTTGGGGACACCACACATATGGAGTGTGGGCTGCAGTAGCTGTGTGGGGCCCAGCACCTGGCCCAGGTGTGTGTGGGGGTGTCCTGAGGTCCTGGGGCAAGACTTGGCATATGGGTCAGGTGGGCCTGGAGGGGTGGGCTGTGCGGTGGCCGCCTGCCTCTGCACGCTTGTGAGCCAGTGTGCTCAGTGCACCTTTGTGTGTGCACATGCGCATTGTACCTGTGTGCGTGCATTTGTTTGTGCCACCACGTGTGTGCTGCCTGTGAGTGCCCGAGGGTGACCTCTGCAGCCAGTGGCTCTGGAGCGGCCGGACTGCGGCTGGTCAGGGCCTGGGGCTGGGCCTGGCCACACCTACCCTCTGACTGAGGCCTCCCTCTGCCTCCACAGCTGTGAGGAACGACCGGAACAAGAAGAAGAAGGAAGCCCCCAAGCCTGAGTGCTCAGAGAGCTACACCCTGACGCCAGAGGTGGGGGAGCTCATCGAGAAAGTGCGCAAGGCGCATCAGGAGACCTTCCCCGCCCTCTGCCAGCTGGGCAAATACACTACGGTATGGCTGCCCCCAGCCTGGGGTGCCGGGGTCACGGTGCTGCAGGCTACAGGCCAGGGCCGGGCTCCTGGGGCACCCCTCCTTCTGCCAGGCTTTCCTCTCCTCACCCTCTTGGGCCTCCACGTCCTTCCCTCCTGTCCCCTCCTCCTCCCCCTGCTTCCTCTCAGGAGCTCTCTGGACGCGAAGGCTGGGCAGAGGGAGGTGGGAGAGGCTGAGCAGGCCCTCACTGCCCCTGTCCTCACTGCCCCTGTCCTCCCAGAACAACAGCTCAGAACAACGTGTCTCTCTGGACATTGACCTCTGGGACAAGTTCAGTGAACTCTCCACCAAGTGCATCATTAAGACCGTGGAGTTCGCCAAGCAACTGCCCGGCTTCACCACCCTCACCATTGCCGACCAGATCACCCTCCTCAAGGCTGCCTGCCTGGACATCCTGGTGAGGGTCTCCCTGCTCCCCCCGCCTCCCTCTCCCCTCCCCGTGTCCTTGGAGGATGTCCTGCCTCTTAAAGACCCTTGTGGAACCGACCTGTCCAAGCGCTCACCCACCCACACAGCCACCTTCCTCCCCTCGTGTCCAGTGGTGCACTCGTCCGCTCAGTATCCAGATGTTCACTGCTTCACCCATTCACTGGCACACACAGCCTCCCACCGCCACCCCACCTTTCCCTCTAGACTGTCTGTAATAGCCACCTGGGACCTATGTGGCCAGGCTTGGAGCCGGATGTTGGGGAAGAGGTGGACGTGCCGCCCCGTTTCTTGAAGACCTGTCGGTGGTGGCAAGAGATGTGTAAACAGAGGTTGCAGAACTGGGAGAAGTGCTAGCTTATCACAGCACTGTCCCTGTCCCCTCCCTGCACGAGAGGCCACATGCTGGGCCCCCGGGACCTCCAGGCGGAGGCAGCATAGTAGGAGCCTGGTCGGGGCGGGGGTCCCTGACTAGGAACAGGGTTGGAAGACCTGCTGGTGTGAGTTCAGGTGGTCAGGGGGCTGCAGGGCATGTGGTGGGGGCAGAGGGTGGACCAGCTGGGGGCAGGATGGAGGACGGTGGGGACTGCCAAGGCCAGGGCTGGAAGGAGGCCTCTGCTGCCCTGGTCCCTGACCACTTGGCCCACCTGTTCCCTCTGGATGGGGATATCTCCAGGGTCAGGAGCCTGTGATGGGCTGAGGCTCCCACTTCCTGGTAGGGGTGGTGGGGGAGGTGCAGCTTTCCATCTCCAAGCCCCAGATGCAAGAGACAGGCTGGGTTTGACACGGTTGAAGCCCGTACATGTTGATGGCGCTGCTGTCAGGCCCCCAGCAGCGCTGTAGATGGGAATCTGCTGTGGTCTTCGCCTCCGGAAATTCTAGTTTCTCTCTAATCCTCTGTGAGGAGGCAAGATGACTTAGAACTGCGCCGTCCTGTACAATAGTCACTCGCCATGCGTGGCTATTTAAAATTAAATTAATTAGAACACAATTCGGTTCCTTGGTGGCACGGACCATGCTTCAGATGCCTGGCAGCCGCACTGTGGCCAGTGGCTGGGGCATCAGAGGGCACAGAGGAGGCCGCTTCATCAGGCTGCCACTGGACGGCACTGGCCTGGCTGCCTGCCAGCTGGTCCCCTGGGGCTGCTGGTGCTGGAAGTGCTGGGGGATGGGCTGAGTCCCTGAACTTGCGTGTCCTCTGCACCCAGATCCTGCGGATCTGCACGAGGTACACACCTGAGCAGGACACGATGACCTTCTCGGATGGGTTGACCCTGAACCGGACCCAGATGCACAACGCCGGCTTTGGCCCCCTCACGGACCTGGTCTTCGCCTTCGCCAACCAGCTGCTGCCTCTGGAGATGGATGATGCTGAGACTGGCCTGCTCAGTGCCATCTGCCTCATCTGTGGAGGTGGGCGGGGGCCAGGCCCAGGGTGGGGGGTGGACCCAGGAGTCCTCCAGGGAGAAGCTCAGCTCTGGAGACCTTGGCCCCATCAGGCCCGTCCTCAGCAGGGCGGGGTCTGGCTTGGGGCCTCGCAGCAAGGGATGGAGGTGGAGACCTAAACTCTGGTTCCCCGTTCCTGGACAGGGCCTGAGAGAGGGAGGGTTTGAGGGTCAGACCACCCAGGTTCAGATCCTGACCAGTTTGTGACCTTGAGCAGGTTGGCAAACTTTGCAGAGCCTCTGTTTCTGTAAAATGGGCAGTAATTATCTCCACCTTGTAAAGTTGATGGGAGGATTAAGGTGGTATAATAAGTAAGGCGTGGTGTACCCAGAGTGAGCCCAGTGAGTGTTGGCCGCTGCTGTTACCGTGTTGTGAGTTCTGCTGCTTTCCATGATGGTGGGTGCGAGTGGGAGATCTGCCTGGGATTTCTCCCAGTGCTTGAGGGTCACACTGTTCAGAGGTCAGGGCGAGCTCTGGGGAACCAGCCCCCTACTCCTCTTGACTCACATTTAAGAGCCTATCTGGCCGCACTCCTATTCCCCCCCACCCATTGTCCTGGGGGAGCGTGAACCCAGGGAGAGGCTTAGCTGGTTCCCTGGGCAGGTGTGCCCCCTGCTGGCCACGGCTGGGAGCGCAGCCGTGCTGGGCCTGGGCTCAGGGATGGCATCACTTCAGACCGGCAGGACCTGGAGCAGCCAGACAGGGTGGACATGCTGCAGGAGCCGCTGCTCGAGGCACTGAAGGTCTACGTGCGGAAACGGAGGCCCAGCCGCCCCCACATGTTCCCCAAGATGCTGATGAAGATCACCGACTTACGAAGCATCAGCGCTAAGGGTGAGGCTGCCACACCTTGGAGGGATGCTCCTCCCTGCCTGGGGCAGTCCCCCCAATCCGAGCCAACACCCCATGTCTCTGTAGTCAGGCTAATGCCCGACTCATCTGGACCCAACCTATCCCCATCTGTTTCTAGGCCATGGTCTCCCAAAGACCCTGCCATGCCCAACTTGTGTTGGCATGGCAGCAGCATTTTCCATGGTGGTTAAGGGTGCACTTCTGGAACCAGACCACGTGGGGGTGTGTCCTCAAGCTGGTCACTTCACAGCCCCAAGCCTCCAGTTTCCTATCTAAGGATGGCGTTTACCGAGCTGTTTTGAGATGTTAGTAGGAGAGTCCGTAGCACACGGCCTGCGGGCTGACTGCAGTGCCAGGAAGGCACAGAGCAGGTTCTCTGCTCTCGTTCTCGTTCTCTGCTACTCTCTTGGCATCCAGGTGTGCCCACCTATGCCTACCCACACTCTACTCCAGGTGCCCGCCATCAGGCACATGCGTAGGACCGCAGGGGTCTATCATTAACACTAATGGCAGGAGGGTGGAAAATCTGGATCATTTTCACTTAGCCCACGCTGACCCCAGACCTCGAGTGCAGAACTCCCCCTGCCCCTCCAACCGGGGGCTTGCGAGATGGCCTGGGTCAAAGAAGCAAGCCCTGAGTTCTTGTCAGGGAGGATGCTGAAGCTGTCGGAGCCACCCTCCCACCCCCTCACCCTCCTGGAGCCACGCTCTCGGTCCGCTGACCTCTGCCCCTCCACTCCCACAGGGGCCGAGCGGGTGATCACGCTGAAGATGGAGATCCCGGGCTCCATGCCACCTCTCATCCAGGAAATGCTGGAGAACTCGGAGGGCCTGGACACTCTGAGCGGACAGCCGGGGGTGGGGGGCGGGACGGGGGCGGGCTGGCTCCCCCGCCCGGCAGCTGTAGCCCCAGCCTCAGCCCCAGCTCGAACAGAAGCAGCCCGGCCACCCACTCTCCGTGACCACTGCGCCCGTGGACCTGGCCCTCGCCCCACGCCCTGGCTTCTCTCTGCCTTTATACCAACCATGCGGCCCCTGCCAGCCCCGCCCCGCACTGTCCTCCCTTTCCTGGGGGACGGGAGGGAGGAGGCAGCGACTCTTCAGACAGAGGCTGCGCCAGGATGGACTGCCCGCTCCCGAAGCCCGGGCTGACGTCAGGAACAAGGCCCTGAACTGGGGGAGGACCCCTGGTCCTGGGCCTCGTGATGGGGGCCTGGGGACCTCCTGTTCATCAAGACGCCCCTCTGCCCACCTCGCCACATCTTCATCACCAGCAAATGCCAGGACCTGGCTCCCCCCATCCTCAGAACTCGCAAGCCATTGCCCCCCGGTTGGGGAACCCCCCCCTGCCTCGGTTGGTGACAGAGGGGGTGGGCTGGGGTGGGGGGGCTCCCCCTGTACATACCCTGCCATACCAACCCCCAGGTATTAATTCTCGCTGGTTTTGTTTTTAATTTTTTTTTTTGGTTTTGATTTTTTTTTAATAAGAATTTTCATTTTAAGCACATTTATACTGAAGGAATCTGTGCTGTGTATTGGGGGGAGCTGGATCCAGGGCTGGAGGGGGGTGGGTCAGAAGGAGCTCCCACTTTCTCCATACCCCATGCCCTCTAGCCCTCCTCCCCGGCCTTTTTCTCCTCAGTTTTCTCTTTAAAACTGTGAAGTACTAACTTTCTGAGGCTTGGCTTCCCCTCCTTCATGCCGAGGAAGCATAAGCCCCCTTCTCCCTTCGCCTAACCACTGGGTGTGGACAGTTTGGGGAGCCTTTAGAAGGAGTGAGCCCCCCATGAGCGACAGGGCAGGGCCAAGACACCGGGGCCCTCAGAACATAGGCGTATAGCTCAGTCCTGTCTCCCTGCAGAACTGCCCCCCACCCTGGCCCATGTCATCCAAGCCCGCCAGCCCCACTGTGAAGGGGCTGGCCAAGGGGTCCGAGCTGCCCCAGCCCCCAGCCTCACAGCCACCAGCACCGCCCACAGGGCCCCCCAACACACACAGCGGACAGTTGGCCGGCAGACACAGCCTGAGTTCCTCCATTTCCCTGGCCTGCCCCCCAGTCCCACCAGCACCCCCTCCTTGCCCCGCAGGACGGGCCTACGGGGGGTCCCCTGCCCTCACCCCCTGATCCCCGGGCTGGGGGAGCTGGCTCTGCCCTGCCCTCTCTGCCCCGGGGTTGGGCTCTCATCCCCCCAGAGCCGCTGGTGCACCTGTTACTGTTGGACTTTCCACTGAGATCTACTGGATAAAGAATAAAGTTCTATTTATTCTACATGTGCCTCAGAGCCTCGCTGCCTCGCCGCCCTCTCCTGTGCCGGGCAGGGCCTGGGTGCTTCCCGATGGGCTCTGGGTGCCTGGTGGTCAGGTCTGATCTCTCCAGCCCAGTTTGGCCAGAGGCCGCCGAGCTCCTTACTGTGTTAGGGTCTTCAGGGACTTTTCCTCAGGGGTCAGGCCCGCCCTTGCTCTAGGGACCACGCAGGCTGTGAGGGAGCCCCAGCTGGGGGGTGGGGAGAGGCGAGGGGGAGACTAACCCCTTCAGGAAATCCCAGGGGGGAGGAAGCCAGCGGCGCCCCAGAGCTTTTGGCCCCTGGGAAGTCAGAGGTCGGGCGGGGGATGGATCCCTTGGTGGCAGAGTTCTGCTCTGGGGGTGAGCACAGATTTGGTAAGTTCGCGGCAGGAGCGGGGCAGGCCAGCGTCCTCGGAGGCCGGTGTGGCCATTCTCACGCGGTCCGCAAGGCCCAGAGAGACCAGGGCCCTCGCCCAGGGTCACAGAGCCAGTGAGTGGCGCATCAGGGACCAGTGCCCGGGGCTCCCACCTTCCAGCCAGGGCTCGCTGCTGGATCCCTGAAGCCCCCAGGAGCGTCAAGCACAGGTGTGAGGGGGGCGGTGGAGGCTGTGTCCGGACAGGTGAACAGGGCTCGACCCCAGAGACGAGCGCCCCTTGCGCGGCGGCGGCTGCGGCCATTTCTGCTTTGGCCACCAGGTGGCGGCAGCGCCCCGCCTGCCAGGCCCGCCGCGCCGCGCTGGGGCCCGCGCGCTCTACCAGCTTTTCAAGAATCTGAAAGTTAAGACACCTGCACACCTGCTTAAAAAACAGCACTGTGCTGCCCCAGCTTTATTGTAAAGGAGAAGTGAAGGTAAGAAATACGTTGAGTGTTGGCACAACCACACAAAGTCCTCTGTTTGCTTCTATTTTTAACAAATACATGTGGGTTTAAAGAGTAGTAAGACTGGGGGCCTTCCTGGTGGCGTGGGGGTTCAGTCTCGGCGCTGTCACCGCCATGGCCCGAGTTCAATCCCCTGCCAGGGAGCTACCCCATGGCGCAGCAGACCTCTCCTGTCTTCCCTGCTGCTCCCCTCAGCAGTGTACTTCAGTAGATCTGCCAGTTCTGCTCCCCACTCTGTCTCTGGTGAACCCTGTCACCCCCAGCCCCCTGCACCTCTGGCCTGCACCCCCAGGTCTTCCACTAAAAATATTTTAAAAGACTATTAAAAATAAATAAATGAAAGTAAGAGGGCTGGAGGCCAGCCTGCACAGAAGTCCAGGACAATTGAAGAGTATGGATGGGTAGATGGTGAAATAAAAACTAACAACGTATAATAAAACGTGCCGGAAAAAGAAAATCTCACAAGAAAACCCTCGATTGTCTTACAAGTAAAACAGAGTCAGGTGGCACTTCAGTCATTGTGAAGAGGTTTATCGCTGTGTGAATTTGCCCAGCGGGACATTCTAAAGTAGTGTGTGAGCATTCTTTTATTTCGAGAGGACATCTGGGTGATCCTGAATTCCACTGAATGCCCACAGGAGCCCCCTCCTTTGCCAGCAAAAGCAGAGGCTTTAGTGGGCAGTACCTTGGCTGTTGGGACCCTCTGGCTTGAGCTTGCCCTTAGTGGCTAAAGGTCATTGCCTCGGCTGCTTTCTCAGGCACCACACACTTGTGTTTGGTGCTGGGTCAGGAGAGAGGGGCTGCTGTGGGCTGCAAGAGGCTGAGCAGTGTCCTGGCTTCTTCCTGAGCTGCTGCAAACACCTTCCCACCACCCTGCAACCCAATGTCTGCAGACCTTGCCAGATGTTCCAGGGGAACAGGGGCGCACACTTGCCCCCAGTGGAGAGACGTTGTGCTGGAACCCTCACAGGGTGGGGGTGGGGGTGGGGGTGGGGGGCTGACTTGTACTCTGGTGCTCTGCAAGGAGCCCGCCCCCCTTGGGGGTCACACCAAGACTGTTGGTGACATATATACCACCTGGGGTGGGCAGTGATGGGTCCCATTTAACCAGGTGTGGGGCAGGGCTCTGAGGGCTTCCTGGAAGAGATGGCCCCTCCCAGCTAAACCTCCAAGGGGAAGAGTTAGCCAGGTGGGATGCTGAGGGGGACCATGGCTTTGCGCGGCCAGAAACTTTCAATGGCTCTGCGTTTTAGCCATTTTGCTGTTTGTGGAAGAGACGAGGGTGTGGGATTGGGACAGGCTCAGGGCAGAGCCAGCTCAGAAACTGGGCTTGATCCTGAGGGCAGGGAGTGAAGCCTCCAGAGGCAGTGAGGGAGGCTTTTGGGCTGGAATGGCAAGGGCGGCAGGAGCTGCTGTGCGAGCGAGAACCCACCCCAGCAAAGCTCTGCTGACCTGGACAGCCACTGGAGGGGGAGAGATGGAGGGATGCTTGGGTGGTAAAATGGGAAGATCGGGCTGCGTGGGGCCGGCAGAGGCCCGGCGATGGCAGCAGCTGGTGGAGGTGGCCTGGGTGGCTGAAGATGAAGTCACGAGAGAACTAAGGAAACTGGTGTTGTATTTGAGGTGCTGGTTACCCTCCCAGTCCCTCCCTCCTCTCTAGTCCTGCTGGCCCCCATCACCCTCTGTCTTCCAGCCTCAGGGCCTTTGCACTTGCCCCTCCTCCCTGGAATGCTTTTCCTGGAGACAGTATCATGGCTGGTCCCTCGCTCCATTTGTTCCAGTGTCACTCCTGGGGATGCCACTCTCTCCCTTGACTCATTACCTCACTACAATATTCAATAGTTACTGTCAGGCTCCTCCAGGATGTGAGTTCTGCATGGGCAGGTTTGGTGCACTGTAGCCTCACGTCTGGATCTGCTGTTCAAACAGGAGCAACTAGTCACCTGTGGGACTGAGACTTAGAAACAAACAGGGCTGGTCCAAACTGAGATGTGCGTTCCAAGTGCAAAATGTACACCAGCTTTCAGAGACTTAGTCCAGAAAAAGGCATGTGAAATATCGCCATAGTCTTTTACATCCATGAGGTATTGAATTATTTTGGATATATTGGGGTAAAGAAAATGTATTACTAAAATTTATTTCACCTGTTTCCTTTTACTATTTAATGTGGCTAATGGAAAACTTGAAACGACATAGGTGGCTCACATCCTACTTCATTGAAAAGTGCTCATCTTGAACATTACCTGGCACATAGCGTGTGCTCAACAGATACTTGTTGGATGACTATTTCTGGAAAACAGCTGGATTCAGGTGTAAGTTGGCGGGGAGGGTCCAGACTGCAGACACATAAGATTATGGTGCCTCACCACATTCCTACCTCAGGGCCTTGGCACTGAGCGTGGATTAGTGCTCGGGTCTCTGTGATCAGGGAGCGACATGACCCAGCAGCACAGGACTCTGCCTGGGAAGCAGGGGTGTCAGGAGGCAACTAGTCTGATTTGGGGGTGGAGGCTAGCAAGGAAGGCATCCATTTTCTTCCCAAGTGAGACCAAAGGCAGAGAGTGTTAGTTATGGGCTGAGGGGTGGGTTGGGGGCCCTGCAGAGGGGGCTGCTCCAGATAAAGAATCTGGGAGCAGAGTGGAGCACCGGTATGGTCTGGAGCACAGAAACCCTGAGGCCTGAGATGCAGGCCAGGCCAGGGCTGGAGGAGCCTCCTTCAGGTGCTAGACTTACCCTGAGGACAGGGGAGCCCCAAAGGCACAAAGAGTGGGGCTCCTTCTGCTGAGTGCAGCACAGGCAGGAGCGCTGAGGAGGACAGACAGGAGGCTGCCAGGATGCAGGGAGATGAGGGCAGTGTCCATGGCAGTCAGCAGTGGAGCCGGGTCAGCAGAGAGGGATGAAGCCCCAAGGGTGCCGCCAGAGGTGGCCCCTGGATTCATTTCTTATCAAGAGTGACCCCACTGCAGTGGTGGGTGAAGGTAGAGGACAGTGGGGGGCAGAAGAGACAGCGGGGGACAGGAGGCAGCTGTGCAAATGGCTCTTTGTGTTCCTGGGAGGGCAGGGGTGCCGGCCTAGGGCCAGGAGCGCGGACTTGGGGAGTTTCCTTCTGCAGGGACTAGACCAGCAGCCAGGAGAGAGGGGCAAAGAGGAAAAGCCCTGCCGCTGGCCCCTCCCCACACTACCTCTGTGAAAGGGAGGTTCTCCCGCTCCTGCCCGCCCACAAAGGGGAGCCGGTGGATGAGGTCTCCTGGGCAGGTCTACTAGATGAGGCCTGTGGGAAAGGTGGGGGAAGGGGAGCCACCTTTGCCTGCTGCTGGCACAGGATGGGGGCCGCCCGTGCAGTGCAAATCAGAGCCCACCACACACACACACACACACACACACACACACACACACACACACACACACAGAGAGAGAGCCAGAACTCACAGGGAAACACAGGTGCACAACGCGCCCGCACAGGAGGCACACGTGCACGGGCACACGCGCGCACAGCGCTCACCCGGCCCCGCACGCGCCCCAGCCAGGCGCTCGCAGGTCCCGGGCGCCCGCGGTGTCCAGCGCGCACCCGCCGCGAGCCCCCCCGGGGAACCCCCGGGCGCCGCAGTGGGTTTTGCCCCAGTAAAAGCACCCGGACGGCCCGGCGCCCCCGCCTTCCGCCCCGCTCTGCCCTCTGCGGTCCACTCCCCGCCCCGCCGGCCTCGCTCTCCGGGGCTCAGGCGCGAGCGCGCGACTCCCGCCGGGCGGGTCCGCCGACGGCTCCCGCGGAGCCGGGGCGCGGGGGTGGGGGGGCGAAGGGACCGGCCCCCGCCCCGGGCCGCGCCGCGGCTAGATGGCCAGGTCCCGGCGGCCCGCGCCCGGCGTCGCCTTGCCGCTGCCCTCGCCGGGGCCGGCCGGGGCCCGGTGCGCGTAGGCGGGCGGGGCGTCGGGGCCGGGGCCGGGGCGCCGCGGGGGCAGCGCGGGGGGCGGCGGGGGGGGCGGCGGGAGCAGCTTCTGCGCCTCCTCGCGCGCGCGGGGGCCGCGGTTGTCGCGCTCGGCCGCGGGGCGGCAGCGGCCCTTCCAGAGCAGGTGGCCCAGCTCGGCCACGCTGAGCAGCGCGGACAGCAGCCCCACGGCGAAGTAGAAGAGCACGAAGACCGTCTTCTCGGTGGGCCGGCTCACGAAGCAGTCGACCGTGTGCGGGCAGGGCGCGCCGGCGCACGCGACGCGCGGGGCCACGCGGAAGCCGTAGAGCAGCGCCTGGCCCGCCAGGAAGGCCAGCTCGGCCAGCAGGCGCAGCGCCACGCTCAGCAGGTAGCAGCGGCGCGCGCCCCCGCCCGCCGGCCCCCCGCGCCCCGCCGCGCCCCCCGCGGCCCCCGCCTCGGGCTCGGCGTCCGCGCCGCGCGGCCCCTTGCTGGCGCGGTGCATGGAGTAGACGACGAACAGCACCGGCGGCGCCGACAGCAGCAGGATGTGGAAGAGCCAGAAGCGGTAGTGCGAGACCGGGAAGGCGCGGTCGTAGCAGGTCTGGCGGCAGCCGGGCTGCAGCGTGTTGCACACGAACTCCTCCTGCTCGTCCTCGAACACGGCGCCGCCCACCGTGGCCAGCACCAGGATGCGGAAGATCAGCATGACCACGAGCCACAGGCGGCCCACGAGCGGCGACTGCAGCTGCACGGCGTCCAGCAGCGAGCCCAGGAACGCCCACTCGCCCATGGCGCTGCGGACGGACCCGCGCGTCAGAGGCCGGCGGCGCGGGACCCCACCGCGGGGCCCGCGGGGCCCGGCGCCGCCCCCCGGCGGCGGGGTGAGTGGGGCGCGCCAGGCCGGGGTTGGGCGCGCGAGCCCGGGCGCGGGAGCCCGGCCGAGGGGGTGATTGTCAAGCGCCTTCACCGGGGGCCGTGGGTGCCGGGGAGGGGGGAGGGGCCCGCCCGCTGGTGGGACACCCCTGGGTCGGCCTCGTGGGGCCTGCGCTCCCCCCGAGTCCGGATTCCTGGAACCGGAGCCCGAGGGACGCGGCGCGTTGGTGGAAGGAACACAGCCGGCCGGGGGCGCCCGGGGTGCGCGGGTGCTGGCGCCGCCGGGGCGGCTTCTGAAGCCAGGACGCCAGACCCAGCTTGGTACCCGGGACAGGTGGGGCCCCACCTGGCTACCCACCATCTCTCTTACTCTTCTCAGTGCAGTCGGTTCCTTCCAAATGCGGGGGCCCGGGGGCGGGGGTGTCAGACACAAAGTTGTGGAACTCTCTGCTTCCACATCTCTGTGCTCTCTCCGGATCCTCTCTCCCTGGGGTCCCCTGCCACTCCGACCCCAACATAGGCCGGCAGCCCCCCATCTGCCCCGGCACCCCCAGCTTCCAGCTCCCGCATGTCCTCAAAACCTTCCCCCTCACTCTCCCAGGCCCCTGGTGCCCCAGACCCTCACCCCACCTGACTCACCTGTGGCTGGAGTTGGGGTGCTGGAGCGTGCGTGGGGCCTTGGGAGATGGCTGGGACCTAGTCCTCCTGGGCCCTCTTTCATTTTCCCTTTCAGATTTGGCCGGGATGGATGACAGGACAGGATGGCCCAGAGGGGCTAGCGCTCCCCCTTCTCTTAAAGGGACAGGGTGACCCTGCTGGCTGGTTCCACCCTAGGGGACAGACACAAGGCACACCCCTTGCTGGGCTCTGCCCCCTCCCTTCCCCCCCTCAACCCCCCTCCCGGTTCCACCCCTCACCCCGGAGCCTGTGTCCCTCTCCCATGTGGAAAGGGAAGGGGGTTAACCAGAGCTGCTCCCCCTATGAGGGAACCAGGGGCCTATGGAAGCGGGTTCTCCACAAACTCCCTCCAAGGCCTCAGGTGGTCTTCATGGCTGCCAGAGGGAGGTCTGGTGCTAGTGTTGGGGGGCGGGGGGCATGTTTTAAGAGGCAGCAAACATGGACTAGGTCTGGTTGCAGATCTGCCACTTGGACCTGCCACTGAGCTCTTCTGGGCCAGGGCCTCTGGCCTGTCAGCTCAGGAGATGGGGCCAGTGGGACCCACAGGCCTCCTTGCTGCTCTGCATCTTAATGCTAAGGCCCTAGTCACGTCACAGGGAACAGAAAATCCCCAGCCCAGAAAACACGGCACTTGGAAAAACACGAAGGTGTCCACTGACTTAGCAGCTGAGTAAGAGCTTTTGCTTCCTTCTGGCTTTTCTGTAATTTCTGGATTTACTGTCATGAACACGTTATTTTATCGTGTAAAAAATCCATAGAGAAAGGTTCTTTTCTTCGAGTGGCCTCCTCCTGCTCTCAGTGGCAGGAGAAGCTGCCCGTGGGGTGGCGGTTAGGATGAGCTGAGTGACTAGGGGAGGGACACTGCAGGTTGAGGGGTTTTGTTTGTCCCCTGCCTTTCTAGGACCCACCTGGACGTGGTTCCCATCCCAGACCCGAGCCCCTGCTCTGGGCCAGGCCCCCTGCTCCTTTGTGGAGTGGTTACATGAATTGGCTCATTTAATCCTCTTGATAGCGCTGCCCGAGGGAAGCTGGGGGCTCAGAGGGTCCAGGCCACTCGTGCTCCAGTCACACAAAGAGTAATGGCAGGCCAGGCGCGCCAGGCGGGCTGGCTCCGGGGCCTGTGCTCCTAGGCCGTCAGGGAGCTGCCCCCTTCAGTCCGGCTGAGCTGCCCAGGCGTTGTCCCAGGGCCCACAGGCCTTGTGCGGGGCTGGTGGCTCCAGTCCTGGAGCTGGGTCAGGCCTGCCCTTCCCTGAGGGGAGAGGGCACCAGGACTGGCCCCTGTGACATTTCTTCCCCGCTTCAGCCAGGAGGGCCGGTCAGGTTTTTCCATGTGCTGATGGAGGCCCCCTGCCTGATTTCAGGAAGGGGTGGGAATGGGGCCCTCAGCCACACCGGCTCAGGGGCCCAGCCCAGTCTGGAAAATCCCTAGGTTAATGCCGGGGAACCCTCCCCACCCTCAGGCAGGGTCCCCTTGGGAGTGGGCCTGGGTGGGGAGACACGGCTGTGGAGGAAGTCCAAAGGAAAGCACGTGTGGGCTCCACATTCCCAAAACAGGATGTGGGATGGGGGCGCTGCTGACCTCCGCACCTGACTCACCTGCTTCTGCCAAAGCTGCTCCCTGACCTCCGACCCCCACCCCCAGCCACGGGGGCACAGGGACACACCTCTTCTCCCCCAGTTATCCAGGAACTGTCCCTGCCCTGTCCCCAGGGCCCCCGCAGGGTCAAGCCGGCAGCCCAGCCTGGAAAAACTCCATGGGACTGTGGGAATGGAAAGGTGGTGGGCCAGGGTGGGGTGGGAGGTGGAGACCCCGGTTCGCTCAGCGCTCTCCCCGGTCCCTGATGCCACAGGGCCAGACACAGGAGACTCTACAATCTCTGGGGCCCAGCCTCCTCCCCAGATAGCGCCATCCTGTGCGGAGGTGTCGCTGATGCTGCCCAGAGCTGGAGGCACTTGGCCCTGTTCTTGGCCATACTTGAGGTGGGGCTGGGCCGAGAGGCCCGTCCGCCCTGGTCCAAGTTCAGTCTCTGTCCCAGACACCTCGCCTGGCCCCTGGGGCTGAGAGTCGCACACGGTATTGTGGGCAGGCGCATGCGTGTTTGTGCCGTAGTTAATACCAGTGATGGCATCAAGAAAAGGACACATTTCCTCTCCCCGTGCCCCTAACAGTTTTCAAAGTCTTCACACAAGTATTGCCTCTTCGTGAGGCCTTCCCAGCTGCCCTAACTAAAATTCAGCCCTGCTCCCTCTCTGCTCTCTTGGCTTTCTCTCCTTTGCACTGATCACCACGTCACACCCAGTGGATTTTTCTCGTTTGTCCCGTGTAGCGTCCATCTCCTCTGTTAGCATGTCCGCAGGGCTTTTTGGCGCTTTGGCCACTGTTTTAGCTCCAGCAGCTACAAAACAGTTCCTGCAAGTAGCAGATGCTCAGTGAACATTCGTTGGGTGGATGGATGAACAGGTAGGGTAGGAGGACGGCAGGGCAAACGGGTCTGTTCTGTCTGAGATGCCGAAAACCTGGTAGGTCCCAGGCCTCAGCTGCTCACTCTGCTGTCCTCTGGGGCCTGTGATGTGTAAGTGACCAACTCAGTCTGCGACTGGTCATCAGAATGTCTCGTTCTGGATAGAAATAAAATGTCCCAAATGATGACTGGCACAAATCTTCAGTCCTCAGGTCAGCCTGGGTGGGGGTGGGGTATGTGAGAGGCCTGAGAATGCAGCTCTTATGGGTTAGCCTCCTAGGCAGGCCCCCCGGGGCCTCCTACGCAGTCTCGGACCCTTCCAACTCTTCCCCAGGCCTGAAAACCCTCAAGATTGAATGACCTGCTGTTTGCTGGTCACCCCCGCCTCTCTCTCTCCTCCTCTGGTCTGCAGCCTTTGGCTCCAGTTACACCCTTTGGCTCTGCGGCTGTATCACCAGCTGGGCCCTGCTTCCCAGTCCAAGCTTAGCTCCTCCATTGGCTCTATAATTATTTAAGAGTCAGTTTGTTGCACCCAAACGGAACAGTAGCTCAAAAACACTTAGAGGAGGAGGGCGGTGGGCTGCTCAGCACTGGAGGGGTGATTCAGGGCCCCAAAGCATTTTGGGGCTGTAGGATCCTTTCAAGCCATTCTCTGGGCATGGTGGCTCCTCTTGATCCAGAGTCTTTTGTGTTGCAGGCTGTAGATGGAGAAAGGGAGGAAGATGGGAGAAAAAGGCCAAGACCATCTCTGTTAAGGTAAGTCCCAGACGGCTGTCACGCGACCTATCTGCTCACATGTCACTGGCCAGGGTGCGCTCCCATGGCCACGCCTATGCGCGGGTAAGTCTGGGAAATGCAGTCTTTATTCTAGGGGCCATAAAACCAACATGCCACATCTGCTTCTGGTATTGACTATGCATTATGAGATGGGGAGTCAGACATACTCAGTTTCCCCCAGTCTTCCCCCAAGTTGCGTTTCTGTGGAGCTTCTCCCCGGGGGAGAGGCAACGTCTTTAGGCTTTCTTGTCACCGCGACCGCAGGCCCCATCATATCACTGCACACCTGGACTTTTCTTCATGCGCCTCCACCAAGCGCCATCCCTGCTTTCTTATCCTTGGGCAGAGGGGTTATTACCACAACTGTGTGCTCCCACCTGGTCTGTTCCCCACCTCACCCATTTCTAGATTGTACATGTAGCAACTTTGCTTAGTAAGGACAACAGCTGCGCCCCAGTTGGCTGGGCTCTGCAGTCAGCCTCGTCTGCATTTCCTTTCCGTTAAAGACTAGAGTGAACTCACAGATGAGAGAAACTGCTTAAGGATTCGGGTGGGGAAAGGGGAGGTTTTGCATTGTCAGGGGACTTTCAGAGTCCCTTTCCTGTCCATGCAGCCCTCAATGGCCAGTGCTTGTAAATGCCAGGGTGTGCAAGCACCCACAATTCCTGCCTGGAGGAGCCTGCCACTTCCTCTCCATCACCCGGGAAACCGTGGGATCAGATCAATTCAAGACCAACATGCCAGCAGACCAAAGCAAATCTCCCTGAAGCAGCATCTTGTGACCAAAGGACTGCCCTTGGCACGGGCCCTGGAAAGTCATGGAAAGATACTGGGGCAGAAGACAAGGTCACCTACTGGCTGGGCTTCCTTTCCTCCAGCTACGATAACATTTACTGGTCTGGCTTTTGGTTCTTAGCAGGGTGTCTTGGGGCCAGCTTGAGGCCAGGAAGATACTGCCTTACTCAAAAGAAATGAATCAGAAAGTACTGCGGGAAAATGTAAGGCGTATAAAACAAAACAACTGCTTTGAAACACAGTCGAGCATTTTCTTATGAAGTTAAACATACTTCACAAATGAGTCGACATTAACAATTCCACTTCTAGGTAGTTAGCCAAGAGAAATGAAAAAAAAAAGTCTATAAAAAAGATTTGCAGTCTCATGTTCATAACAGCTTTATTTATAATAGACCCAAAGTGGAAACACCCAAACATCATCTATCAACAGGTGAGTGGATCAACAAACCCACACAATGGAATAATACTCAGTGAAAAAACAAACAACCCCTTCCCTCCCCCCCCCCCCGCAAAAACCCAGGGAAACTATTGATATATGCAGCAACATGCATCAAGCTCAAGAACTTTATGCTGAATGAAAGAACCAGACACGAGTGTATATATTGTAGGGTGCCATGCATCTGAGTCCAGAAGAGGCAAGGCTAAGGGACAGTCAGATCTCTGCTTGGGGTCAGGAGTTGGAGACATAGAAGTCGTGGTGAAGGAAACGTTTCGTGCTGTGACGGTGGCTACGCAGGAGCGTACATTCGTCAAAGGTCATCAGTCTGTACTCTCAGAACGGGTGCAATTTATGTATGTAAATTATGTCTCAATAAAATTGATTTAAAGGGCCTCCCCTGGTGGCGCAGCAGTTGAGCGCTGGGCTGCGAAGCTGCCTGCAGCCTCTGCAGTGCCGGTTCAATCCCCAGCCGCCGGTGAGGGTCCCACATGGCACGACAGACCTCTCCTGCTACGCCCGCTGCTCCCCTCAGCAGTGTATTTCGTCAGTCTGC